TTTGGAATTTAGTCCGCTTTTTGGAAGTTTTTTTTGACGACTCGAAACTTACCGCGCCATTTCTCAGTTTAAGTGTTCAATGTGTTCATTCGCGCAGCCCGTTTTTGGGAATCTTCGCTACTTTATCGGCCACGACCTGCTTTTTTGCCGAAAAAAGTTAGTTTCGGAAAGTCAACTTTTTGAACTTTGGCCGTGGCTTAGAAACTTTTTGAATTTTTTTAAAACTACCCTATCAAAATCTAAAAAAAAAATCAATCGAAAGAAGCAGTTGCGCTATTTTTCCCCCGCATAAGTGCTTACTTCTTTGTAAGAGAAAGATTGTCTTTGTGAAAATTGCAAAATCTCTTAAGTTTTCACTCTGCTCAATTAAGTCCAATTTTTGAAACTGCGCATGCCCAGCATCAGTTTCAATCGAAAATGATGATGCTTATGTTTTGTTGGTTTGCTGGCTTGGTTTTTGAACCCCTCTTAAGGGTTTTCGAAAAATTGATCAAAAACATGTTGGCATAAACGTGGAAATAAGACGATAATGTATTTTTTCTCAAAGTAAAATCAAGTCGCAGGGTTCCCAGCGCGAGTCCCGGATGGACTTTGTTTGTCTTCAATGTATTTGGCAGTTTTTTTTAGAAATTTTGATTAGTGTGAATATCGTTTCTTGCTTTTTTTGTGGTTGGCTTTTTTCAAAGCGTATTTTTTTACGCTAATTTAACTAATTGAAAATCGTACTGTAATTTGTGAGGCTACTAGCTGTGATTTTGTTTATTTAATGTTTTAGCTTAAATAGGTTCTGTTCATAGTATATCGACTTGGTTACCACATTTCAAATCGTTTGAAATGCATAAGTAGGTTTTTCTGCGTTTTTGTGGATTGGGCGAAAAAACACTGAGTGCTGTTTTAGTGGTGTGGGTTGTTTTTATTGACATAAGTAGTAATTTGTATTTAATTCCGGCGAGGGAGTAGTTGTGAATAGAGGGGAGGGGGATTTTTGCAATAGAAAAATTATAACATTAAATAATGATTTTTTGATGAAGAGTTGGTGAACGTAGTTCAGAATCTAATATACTGGAGAAAGAAAGTTATGCTACCTAGTAATCTTCAGAGCTTGGAATTTTTTTCTATAAAACTTGTGATTACCCTTGCGATAAGCCAGGGTATTGCAATCCGATACTAGACTTTTCCTCCCTTAAATAACTTTGTTCATATGATGGTTAAAATTAGAAATGGTAAATTTGGTTCAGTTGATAATGAATTCGAGTTTTGCGTCTCCGGCACATTTAGTCTGGAGGTAACGGATGCGCCTGAGACGGCAAATCTGACAGGACCTGTTTTTTTTTCATCAATTTTGTCTGCTTATGATTTGTCGGCATATTTGCCACATTCTAGAATTGTTTTTTTTTTTGCTGTACGCAAATAAAATTTTATTTACTTTTAGAGTTTTGATTTACTTCTGCTGTTTGGTATTTTTACTAAAACTCTTTGCATATGTCTTTTTTTACTCACAAATTTTATTCTGTCAGAATGATTTCGGCTCATTTTTTGTCGGCCTGGTGGACTAGTTTTTAGTCGTTTCAAGGGTTAAATAATTTTTATGCTCTCTGGATTGCACAAAATGCTAAAAAATTTAATAGGAATCATAGTTTTCCATGTCCAATTTTGGCTTTTTTGTTTTCCTGTTTCTTCGCTTGATAGGTTTCGACTTATATTTAATCAGCTTAATGGCCTCATATTGCGACTTTCGACTATCGAAAAAATTACATGAACCTTTGTGCGTTTTGAGGGCGAGGTGGGTTAAATATATTTTTTTAGTCTCCAAATTTTGTGATTTTTTTCGGCTTTTTTGTTAATTGGTTTAATAATTCTCGGCGTATATTGTATCGGCTTAGTGGCCGCATTTTGTTTCATTTGACGAGCAAGTAAGTTTTTGTATGTATTTGCTTTGAGGGTGAGGAAATTACAGCTTAAAGGGTCTCTGCTAAGGTATTTTCGGCTTTGTTACCGCTTGGTAAGTTTCGTTCCGATGCTTATTTCACATTATATTGCCTTGGCATATTTTTGTATTCATTTTATAGATCGTTTTTTTTCAACATTTTCGGTTTTTTCCGACTAAGCTGCTTTCTTGCTTCGCCTGTGTCATAAATTTTTTTCATTCCTTGTGTGAAAACTACACGTTTTGAACATATTATTTGCCTGACTCAGTTGAAACAGATCAGGAATGTAACTGTAAGTCCTTAAAGTTTTCATTTCAAATTGCGAGAAACGCATTTTAGAACACTTTTTGTTGCGCTGTTGAAAAATTATGGCGAAAACAGCAATACAGTTGTATACAAAATAAGGTTTTATAAAGGTTTTTTGTGAATTTTTATGCAATTTAAAAAAAAAGAGTTAATAACCATCTCCAGGCAAAACAAAATTATTAGTTACCAATTTATTTCTAGTTCACTAACCACTAACAAGTTTGCAAGGTTTTGCATTTAATTTTTCTAGTGCGTTGCTCTTTTCTCAAGTAGGTCGTGATGATTTTTTTTTCGTTTTCCAGGAAAGGTCTTAAAATTTGTATTTTCGTGGTTTGACTTTTTATTCATTTTCAAGTCCAATTCATTTTCTTTGTTGAAACAAAGGCTAACTCCACTGTCGAACAACAGAAGTGTAAAGGTAGCAAAAAACATGATCTAATTCTAGTTTCGAAAGTTGTTTTCAATTTTGAGATTTCCCAGCGCAATAAAAAATACCCGTTGATCCAGTTAAATCAAGTTTGATTAATTTTATCAAAAAAGTTACGTAGCTCCGCTTTGCCTCTAGTGAAAATAATGATTTTTGATATGCTTTTCACATTGATAATGAACAAGTGGTATATCACCGAATAGGCTGTCCACTTTTCCTGCTTATATCCGCAATTTTGAATAACCCAAATTTAGGAAGTTCTAATTCTAATTAGTGAAATTTTGAGTCTAAGTTTGATTTGCGAGAATTTTGTATGAATTTTTGTATTTTTCAATTTCTGCCATCTATCTATATCTATCTATCTATCTATCTATCTATCTATCTATCTATACTATATTTAAATGCGAGTGACAGCTATCTCCCATGGTTAAGCATAATAATTTTGCATGTTTAACGAAAGAGTTTTTTTATGTTTGAGCTTTATCATATAATGCAATGCTTAAGAAAATTTTTCAATGGGTTTTCCGCAAGGTCATTAATTTTCTGTAATTTTTTTGCGAGGCCAAATTAAGTCTGTCTGTCTGTCTGTCTGTCTGTCTGTCTGTCTGTCTGTCTGTCTGTCTGTCTGTATACCTGCTTTGTTAATTAATTTGATTATGTCTGTCTACCCGTCTCCTAATTATTTAACTTTCATCTATCTATTATGTATTTAATTACGGACTTCACTATCTCGTCATGCTTAGGCTTTCTCAACGTATTATTTTTGCATGTCTAGCAAAAGAATTTTTTCACGTTTAGGCTATATCGTATATAGCTATGTTTAAGGTTTTTTTTCGATTTTCCAGTTTAAATGCAGTGTTTATATCATCAAGTTTGAAATTAGCAACCTAATAGTGGGATGTTGTCAGAGAGAGTTTTCCCAGGTTTTGCGATTCTGGCCTCCATATATGAATAACCAAATCCTTTTAGTTTACGAGACAGGCAATTTTCGAGATTTTTCAAAAATTTCTAGAAAAACTAATTTAAAAAATTTCTCAATTTTTGAAATTCTCACTCTGTAGTTGGATGCTGTCAGAGTACTCTCAGGGGTTGCGAATCTTGCCTCCAAATCTCCGTTCTCAAACCCTTGTAGTTCTCGAGATATGACGTTTTTTTTATGTTTTTTTTTTAAATTTTTCAAAAACTTAGATTTTAAAAAATTCCATAACGTTTAAGGTCTCATTCCTGTTATTGGATATTGTGAAAATAATCTCGGGGAGTTGCGAATCTTGCCACTGAATATGGATGCTCAAATATTTGTAGTTTTCGAGATATGACGTTTTTGGGATTTTCTCTCTTGATATATATAAAATATCACAAAACTTGAACTTTGTCAGGGTATTCTCAGGAGTTGCAAATTTTGCCTCCAAATATGACTGCTAAAAACATTGCAGTTTTTCAGATATGACGTTTTTCGTGATTTTTTCAAAAAAATTTTCATGAAAATTAAATTAATTTTTTTTTCAAAGTTTGAAGTTCCTAACCTGTAGCTGGGGGCAGTCAGAGTAATCTCAGGGATTGTAAAATTGGCCTCCAAATAAGAGTGTCCAAATCTTTTAAGTTTAAGAGATAAAACGATTTGTGTGATTTTCTTGGAAATTTTCAGGAAACTCAAATTACAAAATAATTCACTTAAGTGAAATTCCCAACCCTGTAGTTGTGTGGTGTCGATTACTTTCATAGATTGCGATTATTGCCATCAAATAAGACTGTTGAATCTCGGTAGTTTTCGAGATGTGAAATTTTTCTGTTTCTCAAAAAATACATTTTTTAGAAAATTTAAGGTGAAGTTTCTCAAAATTTGAATTTCCCAAAGTTGTAGTTGGGTACTATAAAAGTACCCTCGAAACTTGCAAATATTGCGTCCAAATGCGACTGCTCAATTGCTTTCAGTTTCCCAGATGTGACGTCTCTTATATCATTTTAATTTTTTCGAAGAACTTATAAAAAACTTCACAAAGTATTATGATTCTTCAAAGTTTGTATGAAAAACTTGAATAAAATACTTTGCAAAATTTGTAATTACGAACCTTGTAATTGGGTGCCGTCAGAGCACACTCAAAGAATGCAGATCTTTTTTCCAACATATGCGGTTTATTATGAGTACCGGAGGTGCGTTTCACGCTAGTTTCAGTAAAAGCAAAGTTGACAACTGTGTTTTACGAATTGCTCCTTTTGCATTTGGAAGTTTTTTCGAGCTTGCCAAAATAAGCTAAATAATTTTAGAGCCGCGTTGATTGAGCATTTCGCAAATGTTAAGTTATAGACTCACTGCTTATTCTGAGTCTTCCTTGAAAAACTTCTGTATCCCAATTTCCAATTATTATAGTTCTGTATTAATACTGGGAACTATACTTGCCAAACATCAAACAAATGCAAGATGCATGGTCTAATTTACATATCTGGCTTTCAATTTTTAACGTGTTAGTCTAGCAAGCTAACAAGTGCATGAGTTTATTTGCCAGTCATCCTCAGTCGTTTCTTGGCCATCTGGGCCTTGCCGAAAGAGGAGTGGTCTCGTCGACTCGCCCGAGACGTCATCCAGGGATCCGAGAATGACGAGTCTTCGGACTCCATTTGGGGAACTGGTACGCCGTGAAACATGAGCATCTCACGCAGCTCATCCCGCAACTCGCTGTTCAGCTCACCTGCAAATAATTTTGTTCGAACTTAAGAAAAGATTTTAAACATAGTGAAGTGGTGCTGATGCCAAAATAAAGTGTTAATATTCTCATTATGGATGCAACTAAAAATAAAAGTCAGTTTTACCACAGCCTGGCCGACAATGGCTGCAATAGCGGTACCACATGAAAGTTCTAGGCGCAAAAAAAACGGCCTTGAGTCGCAACAAAGAACTTCGCTCAACAAAATAGCCAAATCTGGAATGTGAGAAATAAATCAAATAGACTATCCTCAGACATTCCTGTTAAGGCCTAATGATAGCTCATCTGCGATTCGCAGCAATTTCAATTAGTTGCCTTTTTACTCCAATCCAATAAAAAATGCTTAAATTGATGCGGTTTTTGGTTAAGTAATCATTCGTTCTGCAGTGAATAAGCTCTTGCTTTTAGTTAATGAATTATGATAAGTTGAACGTTTGAATACGTTTGAACTTTAGATAAAAATCAAACCCGCCCTAAAAGAACTGAAATCGAACAAAAAGCCACAATTATTTCTGTAAAGCCTTCCAAAAACTATGCTTTGCGAAATCCACTGAAGTATTTTTTAATATTGGTTTATTATTATCAGAGTCATTTTTCTAATCAAGGAATTCTGGAATATTTCAATCTCATTGTTTATTTTTTTTTTCGGATTAAATGGAGCATTGAATGATGTAATTTTTTTTGAAATTCTGACATGTTTTCAACAGAACCAATTTTCGAAATAATTACATATCTATTGTAATTTATCAAATAGCGCTGAACGCAGCCGTAAATACCATCTTTTTTGAGGCGTTTTTATTAAGGCTCAATCAGGGTTTCAACCGTCTGTGTTATGTTTTAACATCATTTTGCAATGTGTATATTTTTGGAGGTGGTGTGAATTGTAGCTTGGCTGTTTTTGAAGTTATGTTCCGATGTCTGCTTTCTGTACTGAATTTGAACAAAGAATGATTTTGCGGCGAGAATTTCATGCGATATAAAGGCGCAAGCATTGTCTGACAGGCGCCACGACAGGTGGGTTCAAATGACAGACAGGAAAAATCTATCACACTTATTCTGTTTGTCAGAGTAATCAAAGTACGGGAGGGAAAAGGTGTTAGTTATCGGGAAAAAAATTTAAAGTGATGTTTTGTACTATTGCGATCCCGGATTTCAACCCGGTACTTGAGTTTTAAATGTTAAAGACGAAAAGATCTATCACTTATTTAGGCCGCATTACTTTTCATTGTTTTTATGTCAAGTAAAAGTTGAAAGTTGTTTATGCTCGAAATTGATTGCTCGTGGTTTGTTCTTTTTTTTTAATTTTCTTTTATTGAATTTAGAAAACAATTCTTTTGGCAAAAGGAAGGCAAGCTGAGCTCTCCCACTGCGAAATTGCAAATGACGCTAAAAACGTGAAGGATTTATTTTTTCTAAAATCAACTTAAACTATCAGAATTCACAGCAAAATAAAAAGCTAGCCATTGACATATTTTTTTTCTTATGTGGTTGGTTTCATGAGAAAAATGATAATCTTTACTCTTGCGATAAGCAAGAACTTGCAACCGGGTAATGGACTTTTTTCCCTTAAATAACTTTGTTCACAGAATAGTCACTCTGAGTATTTAGCCATTTCTAAGTTCCTTTTAATGTTCCACCCTCATATTTCATGTACTGCCTGTTTAGGGATCCTAATTGATTTTTAGGAGTTCTATGAAAGTCTTGTCTTTCGAAAAAGTTTCCGATCATTTTGCGTTTATTGGGTGTCGGCCTTATTTTTGTCGGCGCATTTAACTGATGTTCTTTTTCTATTGCTTTTAGTAAATGTTTCAAAATTGGGTAGACTCAAATTTGACAATTTATGTCCACAAAAGTCAAATCAACTTCTCCGACACTTTTTAAAACCCTAAAAAGTAACTTTTTATTTTTTTTCACGAGAAAGGTTTTTTGGGTTACTTTTTCTTTCACGGAAGTAGATTTGTTCAAACTATTATTCGCTTTTGTATGCTGTGTTTATCAAATCTTTTCGGTATTGATACTTCTGACTGCAATTAGCAAACGTTATCAAATCGGAGTAAAGATTTTTTTCGTGTTAACAACTAGTTCAGCAGAATTACTTGAATCATTTTACATTTGTTTCATATGGCATCAAAAGACCAACGTTAGTTTGCGCATGTGACGAAGAGGTAACCCACCTGCCTACAAAAACAAAGGTCAATGGTCCGCAAAACATATTAGTCGGACTTGTTTGTCTGCTTGTTCTGTTTGTCGGCTGTGTTGCAGCTGCACAAATGTTGCCGCATAATACTTGAAAAAAAATCAGTTCAGTGTATTCCGTTTTTGGGAAAATAATTGAGTTTCAATTCCAAACTTTCAAGTTTTTCTGTTTGGGAAACTCACAAGGCTCAAACATTGTTCCAATAGCCCTCAATTGTTGACTTAAACGGAAAATTGTCAGCTTGTCAAAAATCTTTGTCGGACTTGTTGTTTTGTCGGCTGAGTTCTGATGAACTGCTCTGAAACCTGGGCGCAAATCAAAGCAATATCCAGTTCTATTTAGAGTGCTGATATGATAGCTCTGCACAGGATTACAGGAGTCACTTATAAAGACATAGTTACCAACGAACCAGTTTTTAAAATGACAGAACTTTTTGATCTGGAAAACTACCAGTGCGGTCACGGCCACGATGGTTTGACCATGTTTACAGAAGAGAAAATAACCATGTGCTAAAATCAACAGATCAAGTTCTTTCCCACGAAAAAGACCAGCATGAAGATCAAAAACTTTGGATCGATTGTGTTAAACGAGACCCGAGTACTTTAAGCCTCAAGCTCACAGACTGCCTCAACCGAATGGCTTGGAAAAACGTAGTATCTTTTTCCATTAAACAGCTTAAATGCCATTCAGAATGTCCTCATCTAATTGCTAGAATTTGTCAAGCTTTCCAGGTATACAATTGTTTACGCAATTTCCGGATGTCAAACCCCGCCACAATGGGAAAACGAACAATCAACGCATTAGTAGGTGTAATTGAGTTCCCGGCAGTTCTTCCGATTTTTTTTGATTTTTCAAATATATGTTTTTCACCCTCGCGAGAGCAAGTGTCTTGTAACGGGTAAGTTAACTTTTTTCCTGTGATGAACTGTTCTTGCAAGAAATTGAACTTGCTTTATCGTTGATCCGTAACATTTTCCAGGTTCCTTCCCACTTGGCTTGGAGACACCGCAGTCGATTTTGCACCGTAGGTTCTGGATTCGAGTGTATCGGCTGTTTTCGTCAGTATGGATAAAATGGAGACAAATTTCTAAGTTAAGGTTGGCTGTAAGTTAAGATTGTCGTGATTGCTTCCGCTTCATAAGATTTGTCCCGTGGCTAATTTTAAATTCAAGTGTCCTACTTAGCAGATTTTCCTTGAATTCCGGTTTCATAAAAGCAAATATTAAGAAAATTTAAAATTTATGGGTTTGGTATTTATATTTTGGTTTGTTTTCTTTTGAGACGCGTTGGAATTTTTGTAACTTCTTGAAAAAACTTAATAACGTACTTTACCCACTGTCTACCGCCTTCGAGAAACATTTTGGAAATCTTTGACCAAGTTTTTTAAGATTTTTTTTTTGTTTTCTCAAAAACTAATCGAGATTTTGGGTTCAATGGTTAGATCGGGTTAGATCAATTTTTTTAAACAAGTTCTCCCTCGGAGAAGTCAATTGAAAATAAACTTTTTGAATTTTCGCCAAAACTACGCTTCCTCATCTGAGATTTTCTGTTCAATCAATATAACGGTTTGTGTGAAGCTTCCTTGCGATATAAACTAAGCTTAATTTTTTCCACAAAAAGTTATGGCCCTCGGAAAAATTAGTTCTTCACCCTTTTCTTAGACTATTTGACTTCTTTCAGAAAATACGAACCCAAATTTAATTCATTTGGTTCAATCGAAATAACAGGTTGCGTAAATTTTTTTTGCATCAACGGTTTGCCCATTTTTTACTTATAAAGTTATGATTCTCGGAGAACTCTCGAAAAATGTTTTTTACCTCCCCTACAAACTACCCTATTAAATTTGAGATGAAGAATTTAACCAAAACAACCGGTTGCGAGAAATCTTTCTGCAGAAGCGACTACTCCTTGATTTTTTTTGTATGAAAACTGTAAAGTCCTAGGGATATTTCTATTATCTCCAAAAATTTCACTTTTTCTTATTTTTAGCGGAGAAACAACTAATATTTCATCCACATCAGGTTAACAATTTCAAAATTTAATAACTAGGTACCTCCAGCTCTAGCCGAGCCGCTACTTATATTTTATCTAGACATACGAAAATTTTGTTTCACTTGATTTTGTTCAACATTTTTTATTTTTTTTTTACTTTGGTTTTTTAATGTTTGTGTTGTATCGCAAGTGGTACGAAGCTCTGATTCGCCTCTGTTTCCGTGTTTGTTTTTTAAAAACTGTTTGAAGTTATTCTCTTTAAAAATTACAGGAGTGTTCTATGCTATTGTTTGGTGTTGTGGTCACACCCATGATCGAGACGACAATTTCGATTACAGTCGGGACCTGATTTTTTGTGGAAACTGGAATTTTTCGACAATTTTGGACTTTTGTGTCTGGTTAATTTCGTGTCTGCTTGAACAAAAATATAATACCAGTTTTAATTTAAATTTTTATGTTCACTGAAGTCTCAATTTGATATCCTGTGTAATTGTTCAGTAATTCCTTTAATCGGAAATTGATGTCTTTTACTACTACTACTTTTATTATTTTGCGGTTTAGATCATGCAGAAAGGTTCGTTTGTAGCATTTTGAAAGCTCTTTGCAAAGTTTCTAATGGTGCTGGTAGTTTTTTTCCAGGAAGTTCTTGCCCTTTTTTGTAATCTCTACTATATTTAAAAGCGTGTGACCCGTAACTGGCCATGTTTCCGCGTTTTTTTTTTTGCAATAGTTAAGGGCATAACTTATCCATGCGTGCTTAAGCTATATCGTATTTTGCAATGCCTAAGAGTTTTTT